AACCTTTCCTCTAACTAGACATACTGTCTTTATGAGACTTTTAGTGATTGAATACTGCTGTGAAGTTAGAAAAGATTCTTTGAATAGTAAAAAGTGAGGGCTGGGGATTTAGCTCAGTGGCATAAGCACCTTCCTTGCAAGAGTGTAGTCGTGAGTTTGATCTCCAGTACAGATTTTAAAAAGTGAAAAGTGAAAGATATCTGTGCTAACATGAGCTTAAATTTTAGTTTTTAAAAACATAAGATTGGTATACATAAAGCCACTACAGGAAGATTAAAGTGAATGTGATCTTGTGGGGAAAGCTTTGGAGACTTGAAGCCAGGATACAGATGTGTCTGGGTTCCAAATCTAGAATCTCATTTGATCCTGAAAACAATCCTGTGAATATAGAAGCTAGAATAGGCAGTAATCTATTTTATATATAATTAAACAAATGGCGCCTTAAAATTTCATTTGTCCAAAGACACACAGGTGTTACATTGCAGAGCCAGAATTTAAATCCAAGTCTTTGACTCTATGCCTGGTGCTTTTTCCTTCTACAAAACATAAAAGTCCAAAATCCTTAGTTTGAGGCTTAAGGCTACCTCTAATAAGGATTTTATTTGTCTATTTTGGTATTAGATCTCTTGGTTCCCACAAACCTTAGCCCCACAGACCTTAGCTCCTCCATTTATTTGGCAGGTCTATGCCAAGGATCACAGATAAAGTCTTGTTTTTTCCCTTCCCTTCCCTTCCCTTCCCTTCCCTTCCCTTCCCTTCCCTTCCCTTCCCTTCCCTTCCCTCCCCTCCCCTCCCCTCCCCTCCCCTCCCTGCCTCTCTTTCCCTTTCCCTTTCCCTTCCCTTCTCTCCTTTCTCTTCCTCTTTTTTTCTTTGTAAACAACTACATAAATTGTAATGATGTAGTATTAATAGCCACTCCAAAAAGTTAACTTTCTTCCCTCCCAACAAGTATCTAGGGGGAAGGAAAAGTCTTGAAACAAGAGGCCAATGCATCATGGTCTTTTTCCCTAATAGAAACAAAAAGCAAAAAGATAAAAAAATTAAGAGGTGTGTTGCCAGATTTTTCTCTCAACAGCTTGCCAGTTAGCTTTAGCTAAACTATGTTCTTGCCTTTTTACTCATGTAGTTCCAGCTGTCAGAAATACTCTGTCTCTTCTGACCTAAGTCATCTGTCCATTGGCAAAGACAAGCAAGTTTCTTAAAAGAGAAAAATGGCTGAAGAAGTTGGCCAGCACTTAGTAGAAGCTGGAGAGTTACCATCTGTGGTATACCTGGTCTGCACAGATCTGCTGATGCTATGTGGATGCTATTGAACAGCAAAGTCTGTCTTCATTTCCATATTTTTATACCAAAAATATGGTGTGGGCTTGGCTCTCTTCCTCTGTCCTACCTATCTTTGCTTGTTTCATCTCTCTTTTCTTTATAGTGTTAAATAAAAATTTCTTCCAAAAATACTGGTGTTCTCATTTGGTTCATTTGATTTACTTTACTGTGTAGTGGGAGAAGGGAGGAAAATTGTTTTGTGGTATAAAAGCACACATGCTGATTCAATGTTTGAGAAATGTTGTGAAAACTTTTTGTTTACAGAAGCTGAGGGGGAAGAAGGAAGGTTTGTTCTGTCAGTGTAGAAAGGAACTCCAGGAGAACAATGATTTATCCATCTGTGTAGTCCTCCCAATTCCTGGAATATTTAGTGTCTCTTCTGTGCCTTGTGTCTGTCTTCTATATGCATATTTTTAGGTTTATCTGTAACTTAAAGTTTCTTTTGGCACCAAGCTTATAGAGCTCTGAAAATAGGATGAAAAGTTTGTATTATTGCCTTACAATAATAACAAAATACTTAATATCATAATAGCCTGACGTATTTTGGGATATGTATTTGACAGGCCTTTGTGGCTAGAGAGAAAATGGAGAAGGAATGGAGAACATGGTATATGTGTTTGGTCTTACTGCTAAAGCTGGAGTTACAATTTTGAGCAAAACTAATTCTGATGGAAGGAAGGAGTGTACCAACCTTTGATCTCTTGTGGCTGGAGGTGAAAAAAGTAGATGCTACTTTAAAAAAAGTTCAGGAGGGGCCTGCTGAGCAGCACCATGGTGTAGGCAAGAACAAGTGCCTAGCGAAAGGTGGCAAAAAGGGAGCCAAGAAGAAAGTAGTAGATCCATTTTCTAAAAAAGACTGGTATGATATGAAGGTACCAGCTATGTTCAGCATAAAAAATACTGGAGAAACAACTAGTTACTAGAACTCAAGGAAGCATAATTGCACCTGACGGGCTCAAAGGTTGTGTGGTTGAAGTGAGGCTTGCTGATTTGCAGAATGATGAAGTTGCCTTCAGAAAATTCAAGCTAGGGGCTGGGGATTTAGCTCAGCGGCATAAGCGCCTGCCTTACAAGCATACAGTCATGAGTTTGATCCCTGGTACTGATTAAAAAAAAAAAAAAACGAAAAACACACAAAAAAAATTCAAGCTATTTAGTGAAGATATTCAGGGCAAAAACTGAACAATTTCCATGGCATGGGTCTCACCTGTGACAAAATGTGTTCCATGATCAAAAAATGGCAGACAATGATCAAAGCTCACGTCAATGTCAAGACTACTGATGGTTGTTTGCTTAGTTTGTTCTGTGTTGGCTATACTAAAAAATGCAACAGTCAGATACAGAGGACCTCTTATGTTCAGCACCAACAAGTCCTCCAAGTCTGGAAGAAGAAGAAGATGGAAATCATGACCTGAGAGGTGTAAACAAATGACTTCAAGGAAGTGGTCAGTAAACTGAGTCCAGACAGCACTGGGAAAGACAGAAAAGTCGTGCCAGTCTATTCTCTTCATGATGTCTTCGTCAAAAAGTAAAAATGCTGAAGAAGCCCAAGTTTGAATTGGGAAAACCGACGGAGCTTCATGGTGAAGATAGTAGCTCTGGAAAAGCTACTCGGGATGAGACTGGAGCTAAAGTTGAATGAGCTGATAGATACGAACCACCAGGCCAAGCAAATCTGCTTAAATCCAGATTTTTCATATAAATAAAATTTTACTTGTGACAAAAAAAAAAGTTCAGCAGGGCTTGGTGGTGCATGCCTGTAATCTCAGCACCCGAAAAGCTGAAGTGAGAGCACTACAAGTTCAAGCCTAGTCTGGACACCTGTAGGAACCTGTCAACCTTCTCTCAAAGTCAAGATTTTTTTTAAAGCCCTGCAAATGTAGCCCATGCAAAGGCCCTGGGTTCAGGTGCCAGCACTACAAAAAATGTTGCAGGTGGGTTTTTCATGTATAACATGAATTGTTGGTACAATGAATGAGACAAAGTTATCACCAAAATTAGTTTCGTGAGCTAGATGAGGCACAAAGATCCAGAAAAAGTCCTTCATTTTCTTCACATGTAAGCGTGACAGCTTGATCTACCTGATCTTTTTCAGCCTAAGAAAATAGGTACTTTTTATTCTGCAGAACATTATCTCTGTCATAGTTGTACAAAACCTTGAATTGGAGGAGGATAAAAAGACTCATAAATAGTGTATATTTTCTCAATTAGATATTTAGCTTTTTCTTCATTTGTATACCTAAAAGCTACTTGGATGTAAGAGAAGAATAATTGTATGAAAAGGTTAATTCTTCACTTGACTGGAAAAAGGAAAAGGGCTCAGAGAGATTTTCTTCTAATGTTGAAATTTGGGAGGGAGTCAAATGTAATTGTATAGCTAGACTCAACTTTCTCTTCTATTTAGAGCTTTTATTGTGCCTGGAGAAATAAAATCCATTTTACAAATAAGAGTATCCTAACTGAGAAAATTTGGGTTCAATAAATGTCTAGAGTTAGACTGCTTGCTACTCATGTTTACATAAGAGTTTGGCAGTTTTACCTTTGCAAGGTGCTTGCCAAGATCTCTCTTCTTTTTATGGTTTATAGTTCAGGAGTGGAAAGAGACTAGTCACTGGTCCTGTTTCTATAAGAGGTATTCTCAAAATGGGAGTAATGATGGTGGCAGAGGTGCTTTTGTGCATATAGTGGATCATTTTGCTGATAGTGTGAGGTGTTTGAGAATTACCTGTATTCCTTTGAAGGGAAATGTTTAACTTCATTGTACCTGTTTCCTGATGAGAAATCAGACTACTTATTTGCTTGGAAGAGTTCTATGACACTTCATACAAGTGCTTTAACAGATTTGTTATATGAGCCTACTATGTGTTTGGTTCTATCTTTCTGTAGGGATAAGAAAGACAAAACATTCATATTTATAGAGCTTACATTCTGGTAGCACTCACGCTAACAGTTAACTAATACGAGGAAAGCCTCAATAAAATGGAATTAAGAATGCCAAGGAGAGGGCTAGGGGTTTAGCTCAGCGGCATAAGTGCCTGCCTTGAAAGCAGGCAGTCGTGAGTTCGATCCCTGGTACCAATAAAAACAAAAAAGACCAAAAAAAAAAAAAAAAAAAAAAAGAATGCCAAGGACAGCCAAAAACTTCTATCAGGTATTTGTTATGGAAAAGCATCGTGACAAACTATTGGATGTTCCAATCTTTTTATTATTTAATATCAAAAATATTCATTGTTACACAGTGCTTAGATGATTTAACTATAAGTATGTAACATATCAGTGTGACCATCAGCTTTATATTGTTGAAAATCTTACCCCCAGACCAAGTCTGATTTTTGCTTTGTTGGTCTTCACTTCATAGCCAAAGATCTACTGCCTCAAGCTTGTTGCCTTCTGCTTATCCAGTGAGTAGCAGAAGCTGTATGGTATTTATTTGTCTTTTAACCCTAGGCTTTGTTTCCTAAGACTCTGACTTCTGACTTCCTACACTGTGGAAAGTGATTCGTCTGTCTTCCTGCAGAATTTTTTAAATCTTAATATCTTTGAACCAGTCTCCCCTACATAACTGGTTTTTCCTGTGGGAAATCAAGACTAAAGAAACATTTTCCTTTCCTGGTTTCCTTACATTCCCTCTTAGAAAATAACCAAGGAGGTGAAGTATTCTCATTTTCTTGGGATACCTAAGGTTCTTGTGACATACATTGAAAGGAAACCAAGTTGATGACCAGCATCATCATGACTTTATTGTGGGAAGCCTGAACTGAGAAGGCTTTCACTGAGGCTAAACTCAGAGTGTTGACTTTGTTTCACTCCCATCACCATGTCTGTCTGGTTCAAATGAAAAGCATGGATTGACAGAGGATTTTAGAACTCAGTGTGTCCTTTTGCACTATCTCAGAACAACTCCTATGTTACCTCTAAGAATACACTGTGGCATAATTCATTGCTCTTAAAACGTATTTTTACATTTGTGTGATGATGATTTGCTTAAGCAGCAATAAATACAGAATCTAGTATTTGTCAGACACTGGGAATACAAATAGACTTTGGAGGCACTCTATAGAGTTTTGCCATGGAGTCAGCTAAGACAGCAAAGTCACTTTGGACTTGGATGTCCCTGAATCTTATTTAGAAACTGTCTTAGTTACTTTTTACTCATCGCTGAGACAAAATACCTGAAGCCCAAAGTTGGGAAAGGAAAGGTTTATTTCTTACAGTTTTTGGAGGTTTCAGTCCACAGTCAGTTGGCTCCAAAGCAGGCGGGCATGGCTGGGCCGCAGTTCATGGTGCGTGCAAACAGCAAAGCGGGAACTAGCAAAGAACAAGACACACCTTCTTCCTGCCATTACATCACATCTTGGCTCCACCCCTTTGTGGGTGGAGCACTGACACCATCAATCCAAGCACTAGACAATGAACGAATAACAAATGCACAATGCAAACTCATGAGGCCTGGGGGCCACAGACATAAACCATGACAGAAACCGTCTTCTGGAGTAGATCAAACAAGGCAACAAAAGCTAAAATGTTGGCTTTGAGATATATCTGGATTTTATCTTATTTACTTATTGGGTGGGCACAGATAAATTATCTTTGAGTATTAGTAATAATACCTATTTAAGTACGATTGTTAGGCAAAATTGTTAATGTCATCTGTTACCTGTCTGGTACTGGTTTCACCTTCCAAAAAAAGCCTACCTTCCACTTTGGGGGCCCATCAATATGTGCTAATTCTAATACTTAAATTTTATGTTGAGACAATGGAAAAGGCACTTTTTGTTAAGTAAAACCATAACAAGTAGAAATACTTGAACTATTATTAGAAAGATATGCAGATTGAGGAGGAAGGACTATGTTGTACCTCAATTCCTAGGATCACAATAAATATTTGTTAGATGAATGAAAAGGGCCCACTATTTTTTTAAAATTTTATTTAAAAGGAAAAAGAAAAAACAAAACAAAACAAAGCAGCATAAGGGTACAAGTAATACAGAACTACAAAAAAAAAAAAAGTAAGAAATCACCAGTTAATAGATTACATATTATCATCTTAGAGATAGTTGCTCAAGTCACAGTATCAAAGCATACAAAGTGGACATTCAAACAGACTGCAAACAGTTGTGTTCAATGATCCAACCAAAAACATTAATATGGTCAGCTGTTGTATCCTTTAGAGCACTTTTTTTCCCTCTCTTTTTTACAACAAAATTTACACATTTTGGGTTTTATTACTCCCATAGTTCTTATTACTTTTTTTTTTTGGAGAGAATAAAGTCAAATATGGCAAAACAAAGCTGTCAGTCAAAACCAAGGATAGACATAGTACATGATGTAAGAACAGAGTACAAAGTTATCAACAATGGTTACCATAATATCTCTTGTTTCCTTAAAAAGAATTGTCTATCTCATTAGGTATTATAAAGTTGAACAAAACAGTAGAGAACAAGACCAATAAAACTTAAGCATTGTAAACATTACAGGACTTCCAAAGGAGACAATAGTCAAACCAGAATGGGCATCTTAGTGAATCTTATTGCCTTCAAAGTAGTTGCCTATATCTTCAAACTTGATACTATCATACAGAATGGAACAGAGTCTAATCAGTCAAAACAAGATAGTGGGAGTATTACAGGACTTCAAAACAAGTTAAAAGGAAATTAAAAAAAAGTTACTATTATATATCCTGCTAATTTTTAAAATTTTTCTCCTTAATTAAAAAAACCATAAAAAATAACTAAATAATTTTTTTAATGAATAAGGGAGGGATTAAGATAAAAGAGGACATAACAATATAACAATACAGGTCAAAGCATGACTGTTTCAGCAACCTAGTGCTTCACCACCAAATAACCCGTCTTAATAGTAGTTACCATAGTGTCTGTCTTTTTCCTTGAAATATTTGAATAAAACTTCATATACTATAGCTTCAAATATTTCCATATCAAGAAGCCCAGAATAAAGCCTTTCCAATTAATAAGTGAAAACTTTATAAGGCTTCAAGGCCACATAATGGGGAATCATGATTACCACATATTTTTATATATTTGAATCATTACTTACATTAGGGAAACTTCGGTATTCACAGATGCGAGATTGCTTTATTTCACTTAAGAGTATGGTCTCAAGCTGTGCCCATTTATTGATAAATATCTCAATGTGATCCTTCTTTATAGCTGAGTAATACTCCATTGTATAGAAATACCACAACTTTTTTATCCATTCCTCAGTTGATGGACACTTGGGTTGTTTCCAAGATCTGGCGATTATAAATTGTGCTGCTATAAACATAGGTGCACGTATATCACTGTGGTATGATGCTTTCAGTTCTTCTGGGAATATGCCTGGAAGTGGAATAGCTGGAATAAATGGGACTTCCAATCCCAGCTTTTTGAGAAATCTCCAGACTGACCTCCACAAAGGTTGTACCAGTCTACACTCCCACCAACAGTGTAGGAGAGTTCCTTTTTCCCCACAGCCTCTCCAGCATTTGTTGTTGTTGGTTTTCTTGATCCTGGCCATTCTTTCAGGAGTGAGATGGTATCTCAGTGTGGTTTTAATTTGCATTTCTCTAATGACCAATGATGATGAACATTTTTTCATGTATTTATTTGCCATTTGTATTTCTTCATATGAGAAGTGCGTATTCATCTCAGATGCCCATTTTTGGATTGGATTTTTGAATTTTGGGGGTCTGAGTTTTTTTAATTCTTTATATGTTTTAGACAAGAGTCCCTTGTCTGAGAGAAAGTTCACTAAAATCTTTTCCCAGTTTGTGGGTTTTCTTTTCACTACGCTGGAGATTTCGAAAAGGGCCCGTATTCACTGGTTCTGTTTCACTAGAACATAATGATATTTTGTAGAGCCTCCAGTGCTAGACTGAAGTAATTTAGACTTACTAGACAGAAGCCATTACATTTTTTGGAATGATGATGTGACGTGTACACTTAGCACTTTAGAAAGATAGTAGAGTGATATAGAATGGATCAGAAACAAACAATACTGACACCAGCAAGCAAGCCCAGTCTGGGAACCAGCACCATGAGTGAGCTGCCACCAGACTGGAACAGCCAGACCCCATCCTGTCCCCGTAAGTCAGTGCCATTTATGTACCAGGGTAGAGAGAACAAGGCCACACCAGCAAGGAAGCCCACTCTGGGAACCAGCGCCATGTGTGGTCCACTGCCAGAGTGAAACAGCCAGACTTCAGCCCCTCATGCGTGCGGACAGGCAAACAAGAAGTACCAATTCACCTCTAGTCCACCCTACCCCGCACCTGTCGTAAGTGACCGGCTTATTCACAGAAACACAGGCTGTGATGATAGCTATGGAGATGAAGTACAATTGGATGCCATGGTGCTTTGTCATTTCACTAACATTGCTGATCTAGGGCCAGTGGTCTGATCATAAGTTCAGAGGATAGTGCTACCCAGTGTGACATCTAGGGGGCATCTCCTGAGAGTTACAGCCATTGTTGATTCCCTATGATTTGTTTTTGAAGTCTGATATCATTTTTATTGTTTTGTTGAATTGGGTTTTATTCTCTTGCTTGATTATGTCAAATCTGATGGCAGGAGCAGCTATTTCAAAGATTGCAAGATATACTAGCAATTTTGGATTTACCACTGGCTTGTTTTGAAGTCCTTTATTGCATACATTATTTTGTTTTTATTGTTTCTGTTCTGTTCTGTTTGATTTTTATTATGTCTAAAGTTATCTGCAGCTATTTTGAAGACATCAAAAGGCATTATGGTAATTATTGTTGATTTCATAATATTTTGAAGTCCTGTATCTCTTACATAGGCTTGTTTTGACTGGTCTTACTCTGTTTTATCTTCTATAAAATAATAAAAAAAAGAGAAACAGATAATATTTAGTGTTCCAGTGTTTAGGCAGTGGTAGAACTCTGTAACAGGCTCTGTGGTAGGTGTGAAATATAAAGAGATAAAGACAGAGTTGGGGATCTTTTCAAGAAATCACCAGCTAAAAGAATAGGATTATTTGAAGTGTCAAGTGGTGACAACCTGGAAAACATCATTGGAAAGAAGGGGACAGATGTAGACAACTAGTATTTAATAACTGGCTGGATGGGGAATAAGAAAAAAGGAACACAGGTTTTGACTGAGAATTATGGACAGGATAGGTTTGATTTTGAATTTGAAGAGACAGCAGGACATCCCAGGAGACAGGAGTACAGTTGTCAGTGGGAATGTTTAATTAAAACTTAGGGAAAGAAGTTTGTGCTGGAAAAGTTGATTAGTGGGTCATTTTAAGGAAGTTAAAAGCAGTTCAGAGGAGGGGTAGATGCAAACTTGGTAAAGATAGAAAAGCTTGGGGCTGGGGATTTAGCTCAGCGGCATAAGTATCTGCCTTGCAAGCAGGCAGTCGTGAGTTCAATCCTCGGTACCGATAAAAAATGAAAAAGATCAAAAAAAAAAAAAAAAGAAAAGCTTGAAGGCATGAGGAGTCAGTAAATACTTATGTTTGAGAGAAGTTAGGAACAAAAGAAGCAGAGCAGAAAAGAAACCAAAAGACTTCTAGATTTTTTCTTTCTTTTCTTTTGAAAGTAGTAAAATACAACAGAACTCTTGTTCTGAATAAAGCCAACTGAGACAGTGTAGTGAAATTGGTACAGAACTTCATAGCAGGTTACCAGGATAACAGTAATAAGTATCACACTGTATCTCGTTATCTTCACAATAGTTGTTCTTTCTATCACGTATATCAAAATAAAATGAAATACAGAACATTATAGAACTTATCAAAATAAAGTATTGAATAAAGCAGTACCATTAATCAGAATAAAGTAAAACAGTAATAAAAATATTTGTCTTCAAAGAGATGGTAGAAGGAAATCCCCCTTATTTGCTATGGTCAGCCTCCTAAGAGATGCTCAAATCTCTGGTTCCCATTTGCTAACGGGGGGCAGGGGAAGAGGCTGAGGGAAGTGGGATGTTTGACTCTCAGCCCATGCACCAGTAGGCTTACTATTGCTTAGCAGGGAGGCAGGTTGGTTGCTTGGTTTCCCAGCATCCTAAGATCCAACATGGGGCAGATCTCAGGAGACACTGGTGGTTCTCCCCCTGGAGGGGCCACAGCCTGAAGACTTCTAGATTTAATAAGCAAATTCAGTAACATAACTGGATACAAAGTCAACACTCAAAAATCAATAGTCTTCTTGTACATGAAAAACAAACTCACTGAGAGAGAAATCAGGGAAACAATACCTTTTACAGTAACATCCAAAAAATGAAATACCTCAGAATCAATCTGATGAAGAAGGTAAAAGACCTCTACATTGAAAACTACAGTACTCTGAAAAAGGAGATTAAAGAGGAAGCTAGAAAGTGGAGAGCTAGCTTATGCTCTTGGGCAGGAAGAACCAATATAGTGAAAATGGCCATACTTCAAAAACCGTTACACAGATTCAATGCAATCCAATCAAAATTCCAATAGCCCAACTCACAGAATTAGAGGAAACAATCCTAAAGGTCATCTGGAGCCAGAAGAGACCTAGAACAGCAAAGGCAATTCTGGGCAAGCCAGACAAGAAAGGGGCATCACAATCCTTGACTTGAAATTACACTATAAAGAAAAATTTTTTTTACTATAAAAATTTTTTTAAAAACCCAAACCTGAAGATCAGTGGAACAGACTAGAAGATGCAGAAACAACTCCAGAAACACTAAGCCACCTTATCCTTGACAAAGGTGCCAAACACATTCACTGGAAGAAAGAGCCTCTTTTAATCAACAGTGCTGGAAAAACTGGCTCTACACATGCTGAAGATTAGAACTGGACCCATATGTTTCACCATGCACTAAGCTAAAATCAGAATGGTTCAAAGATCTTAATATGAAAGCAGAAACATTAAATCTTCTGGAAGATAGAGTAGGTAAAACTCTTGAGGACATTGGTATAGGCAAATGAAACCCTAGTTGCACAGGAACTATCACAAAGAATCAACAACTGGGATCTCACCCTATTGAAAAACTTTTGCACATCAAGAGAAACCACCAACAGAGTAAAGAAACAACCTACAATATGGGAGAAAATATTTGCCAGCTGTTCCTCAAAGGATTAGTATCAAGAACATATAAAGAACTCAAAAAAGCAATCATATATATATATATATATATATATATATGATATATAAATATATATAGTTAAGACAGTTATACAACTGATTTCTGTGAGTTCATAGAAGAGAAAGATTTGTGCTGGTGTTGTTTGGTCAGTTGTAAGCAGATGTCTTATGCTCTGGGTGAATGATTTGGGGATGACAATGTGCAATGTATGTACCATTGTTGCCCCCTGATTGATGTGTTTTGAAATTTAGTGTTAGGGTTTTTCATTTTCTTCCTCCTTGAAATAAAATGGATTTGAAAAAAATGTTTAAAAGGCTCCTTACTAGAATTTGTGCTTGTGTGTGTAATTTATGTTTATTTTTCTTAAATTTAAGGTGTAAGACAATTGTTTAAAAGTCCATAATTATTTATGGCAGTGTCCTTATATCCTGTACTCATTCCCCAGAGAAAATCACTGCCAACTCTTTGAGATGTCTTATTATATTATTTAATATATTGTCATATTGTCACTTCCTGATCACGTTTAGATATCTGTTCAGTTTCTGTTATGCAATATGGTTTGCTTACATTTGTACTTCTTTGACTCACAATGTTTAGTTAAATTAGTAATCTTTACATAATTCAGATTCTATACTTTTTGCAGGTACATGCTCTTTTTTTGTAGTAATGTCATTTTCCTAAAGATAATAGTTTTTTATTGATACATATATTTAATCTTTCTATCAGATCTATTATGAGTCTTTTGAAAGATGATCTGTTGGTACCATACCCCCTAGCAATCTCACTTCCAAAGCTTTCTATTGATCTCTTCTGAAAACTTGCCCTCTTCAATTTTAGAATCCCCTTTCCTCTGTAAGAGCTCATATTTCTGGATCCCATATTATTTTACTGACTCACTCCTTTGTTTCATTGATATAGTTCCTTAGCTCTTTGAGAAGTTCATATGGAATGTCATTTTGCTTTTCTTGAGTCATTGCATGTTGGCAATATCTGTTCTCATATTGATTGCTTAATTGGATATAGAATTGTAGGTAGAAGATAATTTTTTCATAGAATTTTGAGGACTGGCCTGGGGGTTTAGCTCAGCGGTGTAAGTGCCTGCTTGGCAAAAGCAAAGTCATAAATTCGATCCCCAGTATCAAAAAAAAAATTTTTTTTTTGAAGAGATTGGCTGGTAAATAGAAATGGTCAGTCTGTTAGGTGCTTAGTTTAAGCTGGGGGTGGAGGGCTGTGGATTTAGCTCAGTGGCATAATCACAAGTTTGATCCTCGGTACCAATTAAAACAAACAAACAAAAAAGGTGGCGGTGGAGTAGCCATATATAGGACATGCCAAAATGGTAATGGAATAGGGAAAACATGCATAAAATGCAGGACAATGGAAAGATAACCCTAGCTGTCTTGAAGAAATTGAAACACAAAGTAATTGTTGTGGATCTTTTCTAGGAAATGGAACTCATGAGAGCCACCAGCTGTGCCTTCTGCTTTATTTCCCCTCCCCAAATTGGTGGTGGTTTGATTAGGTTCTTTCAACTAAAGGCTTTTAAGCATCTCTGTCTTTCTCTCTCTCTCTCTCTCTCTCTCTCTCTCTCTCTCTCTCTCTCTCTCTCTCTCTGTTTTTAGAAATTGCCACAACTCAGAGAGAACCCTTATTTGGAAAATCAGTAGGCCTAAATTCCAGACCTGTATGTCTGCATTTTCTAGCACCACTATATAAATGGCATTACACAGGTTTTTTTGTTTTTTTTTTTTTTTACCTCTCTGTGACTTAGTCTCAATAGAACTGAGATTATCACTGTAGTAAAGCATTTAACATTAAAGACAAAATGAGATCACCTTTGTATGTGTGCTTCAAAGGCAAGTCTCCCTGGTAACAGATTGAATAATAGGAAAGACATTTCCCAAGGAGACTGCCTATCCACAGCTTGAAACATATCCTTTCTCTAGTCATTCAGTGAGAGTTAGAATTTATGTTTAACTGTTCACCCTACTTGTTCCATTTGATTGGATTAGGAGAATTTGGGGCTCACTAGACTAGAACAGAGGAAAAATGAGCCTCAAGTTGCAAACTTAGCTTCTGCCACAGCACTGGTAGGTCTCATTGGTGAATAGTGACTGACTTTGTTTGTTGTGAGCACCAATTGAGATGATTTTTTCGCTGTCACCATCTGTCCCAGGATCCCTTTTAAGCCTCAGCTATTTCACGCTGGTTTCAGGTGAATAGGCCCAGAACTTGTCTTTGCACAAAACCAACATAAACCCCTCTGCTTCTTTCTTATGCCACAAAGTACAGATTAAGCTCAGTCACTGTCCTTTATGTGACACCAAGCTGGTGATGTATATGCATCCTGAAAAGGGAATGAAGAGTTGTTATAAGCAGCTGAGTTAGTTAGAAATATTATAGGCAGTGAGACAGGGTTAAGTCCTCAAAGGAGCCAATGCAGAAGCCCAGGTAGGGGAAATTGAATTGAAACGTAGGGGAAACAGACACTTCCTACTGTGGGCCAGGCCTGAAGACACAAGATCAAACAAATGCACCCATGTCCTAAGGATGCATGTCCTAGGACCCATGTCCTAGTTTTCTGTCACCCTGATGGAGTTAGGAGTCACCCTCCCACCCCTCATAGGAAGAGTCACTGCTCTGTAAGGATGCTCACTTTCTATCTGACTTACTCCCTTTATTCCCAATTTAATCAATTTTACCTGAGAAATTAATCTTATTGATTAACCATAGATCTGTCCTACCTTATGCCCATCTGCCTTGTGAGTTCCCAGTTTTCTCCACCTTGAACCTGTATCATTCCATGATTTTACTCTATAAATGTCCCTAGAAAAGCCAGAGTCTTTGGCAACCCTCTCGGGACCCCTTCTGTCTCTCTCTCAGACAAATGCTTTCTTTCTTCTGCTCATAACCTCCATTGTTCCTAAAATTCATTCTTCAATTTTAGAGAACATGAATTCGTACTGGACATATAGTAGGTTGGGAGTTTCATTCCCCTGTATCAGTTACCCATGGGAGGCCAGGAGAATTCCTTGAACCTCCCTAGAGCTGAGCCTTAGCAGTAGAGGTTTAGAGTACAACCTGGAAGTGACACCAACACACAAGAAACACAAATTCTAACTCTCACTGAATGACTAGAAGCCAGTTATCTCTGACTCCTTTGCCAATAAGTTGTTTATTCACCTGGGAAGTGAAAATACAAATTAAATAAGCTTAAAGCTTCCATACTGTGCTGCTAGGGCCCAAACTGGGATGAATAAAACATAGAGTTTGTAGCCTAATATAAAGATAGATTAGCAAAAAACTACAGCTCAATTATATGATTAGTATACATTAGAAGATTCCTATGTCTGTCTGAAATATTTAGGAAAACTTCCCAGAGTAGTGCTTGTGTTGAGACTTGAAGGATGAGTAGTTCTTCTACAAAACAGAGTGAGAGAGAGACCTTTGAGACAGCAGAGCAGTTTTTAAATGGTATCAGCGAGAACTGACTGGAAAAACAGACAAATTACTGAGGGGCCGTTGATATTCAAAGAACATATATTGCCGAAGGTGCCACTGTTTAGATTTTATTTTCTCCACAAGCAATTGACAGTGTAGACACAGAATTGGAGAAAACAGACAGTTGAGTTAACCCAGGATAATATTCTTGCCTGGTGGGTGTCTCTGACCTAATTTTCCAATCCATTTACATTTTTACCGCCCCTTACTCTTTTTGCTTTGCTGCATGCTGTTCACATTTTGTGGTCCAGTGCTATAGTCTCTTGTGTCCATCTTAATTCCCTTGGCTTTACTATCTTTCATTACCTGCAAAAACTCAACTTTGGTGAACTCCAGCTCTGCTAAAAACTCACCGGATGCTGAAGGTACCATTTCCTTTCCTGATCTGGAGCTTGTTTCCCTTTCATGCCTCCACTTGGTGTATACTGTCCAGTAAACTAAATTCAACCCCATGAAAATGTTGAGGAAGCAGAGTTGGAAGCTGCCTCCGGGACACTAAAAGAAGATTCCCTCTTAGATGAGTAGGGGCTAAATCCATCTCTGAGGGACAAAAAACTGCAATTCCAACCATTCATTAATTCAGAAATGGTTTTTATTTTTATTCTCTAGGGTCTTTATTAAAGTGCTTTCCTGTACATCTAACCTGTTTTTTGGTCATTAAGACAGGTATTATTATTCCTACTTTGTAAATAAATATTAAATTGTTTGCTAGAATTGACAGGTTATAATATCTGGATCTTAAACTTGGATTTGATAAAGTTATAGCAACAGCCTGAAGGAAAAAAAAAAACCTGAAGGAATTTTAGCTGAGGTCCAGAGAACCATGCTCTTTGCAGTGCATCAAAGAGGCAGATTGTTTGATGAAAAGGGCAATAATATTAGCTTTAATGAAAAATGTATTTTTTTAACCCTGTCATTAGTATCAACAACAGTGAGTCCTTTCAAAGGTATTTTTTTTTTTTTATCGGTACCGGGGATCAAACTCACGACTGCACGCTTGCAAGGCATGCACTTATGCTGCTGAGCTAAATCCCCAGTGAGTGATTTTTCTTTCCCACCACGGAAAAAAATATGGGATCCAGCCTTCCACACAAGCCTTGGCTTCTCTCTAATGGCTGTTTCTGCTTAAGTTTGTCCCCACCACTAGGTTACATGTCCACAGGTGGCAGCAGGATGGTCAGAGCCCAGCAGCCTTTGCCAAGGGCTGTTGTCAGCAGCCTCAGGAACTTGAGGCAAATGTTGCTTTTGCTGGTCCTTGGCCTCACACTCCAGAAAGCTCAGAGGGATCAACTAGACAAAACCTTCTGGGGCTCCAAGACCATGCATGTTCTGTTCCAGGTACCAGTTTTGGATGGCTGGAGCGTGATGGAGGGAGGAAGGTTAGGACACAGGATCCATCTACTAGCAAGTAAGGCAGGAAATCAAGTCAGATGTACATCAGAGAAGAGTGGGAGAAAAGGCATGTAGAGACACTAATGGCTGTGTTTTCAGACAGCATCGTAGTTCTATCCAAAAAGTTACTATTTAGATTCTCACTGAGAATGCTTCATAGCCTTGTTCTCATAGCCTTGCCTACATTGAAATTATCTGTATTTTATACTTTTGCTTGTTGGATAAATGAAAAATGAGACCTCATTGTTGTTTTATTTGCATTTTCATGTCTAATTGGGTTGAGGATCTTTTCAAGTGTTTATTGGTTATTGATATTTCTTTCATGAATTAGGTGTTCATATTCTTTGCATTTTTTAAAAACATCAACGTTTAGAAGTTTCTTTAGAGAGATTAAACTAACTGTCACTTTAAAATTTGTGTGTGGGGGACAGGCAGGGAGAGGTTGAGACAGTGTCTCACTTTATATTTCAGGATGGCCTTGAACTCACAATGAAGCTCAGGATGGCTTCCAAATTTTGGCAGTTCTCTTGCCTCAGCCTCCAAAGTGCTGCGATTACAGAAATGCACCTCATACTTAATCTGTTTGGGGTTTTCTGTTGTTTATAAATTTTAATTTTTTGTTTTAAGGCAATGTCTCACCATGTAGCCCAGGCTAACCTCGCATTCATGATGATCCTCCTGCCTTAGGCTCCCAAGTACTGGGATTACAGGAGTGGCACATCATGCTTGGCTGTAAATTTTAATTTTTAAATTGACATAGAATAATTTATGAGTACAGGAGGGTTAATATACGTATACAGTGTATGATCAATTCCAATTAGCACTTCCATCCTCTTAATAATTTCTATGTGTGTACATGTGTTTTCTTTCTTTATTTTTTTGTACTGGGAATTAAACTCATGACCTAGCAGTTGACAGGCAGGCAATAATTTCTGTTGAAAACTAGATCTTCTCTCCTAGTTCTAAATAGTAGTAAACTATAGTTACTATTGTAACTGTAGAAGACTAGACTTTATTTCTCTTATTTAAATGTGTGTTGGCTCTTCAACTGGATTTTGCTAACTGGCCTTCATTGCTCTCATTCCTTATCCTTCTACCTGCTAGTGATCAGAATTCTACTCTCTACTTTCATGAAATCACTTTTTTTCAGTATTGGGGATAGAACCCAGGTCTGCAGGGCCTCATGGAAACCAGTGAAGAAGAAAGAGGATGAGGAGGAGGAGGAGGAGGAGGAGGAGGAGGAAAAGAAAATCAAAACAAAGTTTCAAAGCACATCAATCAATCAGGGGCACCAATGGTACATACATTGCACATTGTCATCCCTAAATCATTCACCCAGAGTATGAGACATCTGCTTAACATTGATGGAACAATACCAGCATAAATCTTTCTCTTCAACGAACTCACAGAAATCAGTCGTATATCTGTGAGTCTATGTAGTTCCAGAAATTGGTAGTATCATCACTCTTTCTACATATATATATATATATATATATATATATATATATATATATATTCAAGACAATTATACCATGATCTATATATGTGTACATACACATATACATATGTTGTTACTTTCAGCTTCTCGCACTGGAGACAATACAGCGTTTATATATGTGTATCTTATTTATTTCACTAATGAGTATGGTCTCAAGCTGCATCCATTTAGCTATAAAAGTCAGTTTATTCTTCTTTATGGCTGAGTGGTATTCCATTATGTAAAATACCACATCATTTTTATCCATTCCTCAGTCAATGGGCATTTAGGTTGTTTCCAAGATCTAGCTATTACAAATTGTGCTGCTATAAAATGAGTGCTCATATATCATTGTGGTATGATGTTTTTGATTCTTTTGGGAAGATACACAGAAGGAGAAAAGCTGGGTTGAATGGGACGTCTAGTCTTAATTTTTTGAGGAATTTCCGCAGTGGTTGCACCAGTCTGCATTCCCACCAACAGTAGAGAAGGATTCCTTTCTCTGCACAGTCCCTCTAGCATTTGTTATTACTTGATTTCTTGATAGTAGCCATTCTTTCTGGGGTGAGGTGGAATCTCTGCTGCTTTAATTTGCATCTCTTGAATGACCCATGATGTTGAACACTTTTTCACTTATTTACTTGCTCTTTGTATTTCTTTATCTAATAAGTGTGCATTCATCTCAGATGCCCATTTTTGGATTGAGTCTTTAAATCCAGGAGGATTAATTTTTTTTAGTTCTTTATATGTTCTTGATACTAATCCTTTGTCTGAAGAACAGCTGGGAAACATTTTCTCCCATGTTGTGGGTTGTCTCTTCACTCTGTTGGTGGTTTCTCTTGATGTGCAAAAGCTTTGCAATAGGGTGAGATGCCAGTTGTTGATTCTTTGTGATAGTTCCTGTGCAACTGGGGTTTCATTTTGCCTATACCAATGTCTTCAAGAGTTTTACCTACTCTATCTTCCAGAAGATTTAATGTTTCTGCTTTCATATTAAGATCTTTGAACCATTCTGATTTTAGCTTAGTGCATGGTGAAACATATGGGTCCAGTTCTAATCTTCAGCATGTGTAGAGCCAATTTTTCCAGCACTGTTGATTAAAGAGGATCTCTCTTCCAGTGAATGTGTTTGGTACCTTTGTCAAAGATAAGATGACTTAGTGTTTCTGGAGTTGTTTCTGCATCTTCTAGTCTGTTCCACTGATCTTCATGGTTTTTTGTTTGTTTGTTTTTTGTTTTGGCATCATCAACTGTTTTTTAAATTACAGTAGCTTTATAGTGTAATTTCAAGTTAGGGATTATGATGCCCCTTTCTTGTCTGGCTTGCCCAGGATTGCCTTTGCTATTCTAGGTCTCTTCTAGTTCCAGATGACCTTTAGGATTGTTTCCTCTAATTCTGTGAGTTGGACTATTGGAATTTTGATTGGATTGCATTGAATCTGTGTAATGGTTTTGGAAGTATGGCCACTTTCACTATATTGGTTCTTCCTACCCAAGAGCACAGGCTATTTCTTCACTTTCTAATATCCTCTTTAATCTCCTTTTTCAGAGTACTGTAGTTTTCAATGTAGAGGTCTTTTTACCTCCTTCATCAGACTGATTCTTAGGTATTTCATTTTTTGGATGTTACTGTAGAAGGTATTGTTTCCCTGATTTCTCTCTCAGTGAGTTTGTTATTGGTGTACAGGAAGACTACTAATGTTTGAGTGTTGACTTTGTATCCAGTTATGTTACTGAAGTTGTTTAATAAATCTATAAGTCTTTTGGTGGAGTTTTTGGGGTCTTCTAAGTAGAGTATCACATCATCTGCAAATAATGATAATCTAACATCTTCCTTTCCTATCTTTATTGCCTTTCTTTCTTTGTTTTGTCTAATTACTCCAGCTAAAGTTTCCAGGACTATGTTGGATAATAGTGGAGAAAGTGAACATCCTGGTCTTGTTCCTGATTTTAGAGTGCAAGCTTTCAGTTGGTGTTGATTTAATGTTGGTGTTGATTTATTATAAGATGGCTTTTATCAGATTGAGATAAAGACCATCTACTCCAATTTTCTGTAAGGTTTCCATTATGAATGTGTTTTGCACTTTACTATAAATGTCTTTTCTGCATCTATTGAGATGATCAGATGATTTTTGTCCTTGGCTCTCTTAATATGATATATTACATTTATGATTTATGTATGCTGAACCATCCTTCCCTTACTGGGTTGAATCCAACTTGATCATGTTGTATAATCTTCTTGATTTGCTGCACTATGTTTGCCAGTATCTTATTGAGGATTTTTGCATCAATGTTCATTAAGGAAACTGGCCTGTAATTCTCTTTGCTTAGTTAGGTCCTTCTCTGGTTTTGATACCAGGGTGATGCTTATTTCCAGGAATGAATTCAGAAGTACTGCTTCCATGTCAATTTCATTAAAATGTTCCAGAAGTAGTGACGTTAGGTCCTCTCTAAATTTCTTGTTGAACTCAGCAGTGAATCCATTAGGGCTGGAGCTTTTCAT